ATTTTCACCCTCTGATATTTTGGAAGCATTATTATTTGCCAGGCTGGGTGCTGGGAGGTAGGTTATAGTGATGAACAAGAGATAAGTGATTCTTATCCTTGGGAAGCTTAGAGTACATCAACCATGCCAATTAATGGCTTCTGTGATCATGGGAAAGTCAGTCAATCCCTATGAATTTCATTTACACCAAATGTTAATTCACTGGCAATATCTACAAGAGAATGGTAGAAGAGGATTCAAAGAGCTAACAGATGTGAACTTGCTCCGCAAAGGGCTGTTTAAATACACGTGTTTGCTGAATATTGACGTTTTCTACCACAAACACTTATTCTACACCGACCACTAGCTATGGGGAATGGGAACCTTTGTTTCTCTTCTCACCACCCTCAGGAGCACATCTGTTGTTACAGCATCTAGTAGCCGGGAAACCTGAGGAAAGACTAAGGACCCTTGGAACAACTGAAGCTACTGGATATTCCACGAGTAACATGGTGAAACATCTTTCTTTACCCATTCATTAAACAAATATTTATTGAATGCCCTGCCTTTATGGCATTCCCTAGTGAGGACGTCAAGAAAGAAACCATTTTATCAGTTGCCTTAATTGATCGATTTTAAATTGGACTGGAGGTTGAGGGAAACAGTCCTGAGGTAGAGCCACATGAGAAAAGACTTATACTGCTTAACCTGGATGGAAAAGGCCTCTGTGAAAAAGTGGAACTTTGGCTGACACTCAAAGAACAAGAAATTGCCTATGTAGAGAGAGGAGTAGCAGAGTCCAGGCAGAAGAATCCATATATGTGAATGCCCCAAGCTGAGGAAGAGTTCTGATAAGCTTGATGGCAAAGGGCTCGGGACTGGAGAAGGTTGGTGGAAATCTACTTACTCTCACAAACCACTTATTCCAGAACTTCTCAAAGCCTTTATTATGCTAAGGTGTACCTTGAGGCCCTATAAGAAAAATCCTGAGTATAGCTGCTCCCAAATCTAAAGTCAGACCTCTGGAAGACTAGTGCCCCCAGAATACTCTGGGAAATATTCTCCTAAAGTATTGATGGTTCTATTAGTTCTGATTGTTTCAAGACACAGGTGATTTGAAATGTGCATCACTGCTTGTCCTCTCACAAGGCTGCTGACACCTTAGCTAATTATTCGGAGTGTCTGATATGGTTCTCTGAATTCTGGCAGGACTCATTTGCAAAGCAAGAGATTTCTACAGATGGGCTGGTATATGAGCCCTGGCAAGTCAGTTACAAATTCAAACTGAAAAATGATTGGGTGAACACCTGATTTTTAAATAATTAAATTCAACAATGATAATCACATATATTTTTTGTATCCTAGGTCAAAGACAGGGAAAATGGGGAAAGAACAGGACACTGCTTTTATTTACTGTCAATAAATGTACCATGGGATATAGACTTGAAAAAAGAATTATTCTTTGGCAGCAGAAAAAACACCTTAAGTTCCTTTGTATTTAGATTTTAGCATCTAATTGCCTATTTCCTTTTTCTGCTATTTTGTGGGAAAAAATGCCCAAGATCTACCTCACTTTTTCTGTACTTTATGAATAAACACTCTAATGGCTACACAGGAGAGTATGACGTTTTCTACCTTTAAGGTATTACCTGGATTCTTAAATCATTGTGATACAACTTATGCTACACATTTATTACACTTAGCTGGCTTGCTTATGAGTTACATGGATTAATTACATAACTAAAAAGTAGTTTTTATCAGAACAGCACAGGATTCTTGGAAGATATTGCTAGTCTCTTAAGTGAATCTGTGGCATCACTATCCTCTCCCTTTTTCTTTTAATAATTTCTTCATATACGCTTGTAAATAATAGTTTTGAACAGCCCATTCCTCTTTTCCCCTACATCCAAAAATTCAAAATCAGATCAGACACCTGCCATTCTTCCACATCAAAACTATCTCTGAAACCAGCAGTAGCTGTGTATACATAAAGGATGTAGGTGTAGGCCCAGGGAGAGTTAAATTAATATCCTGGCTTCACCAGTTCAACTTACCGTACATCTTCATTTGCCCAGTAACACAATCTATAGCCAACTGCTAACCAAGTCAATATGTGGTAAGACTAACAGCCACCCTAACTTGCCTTGATAATTATTCTCCTTTAACTGACATAATATTCAATATACTGTTGTTGAGAGCAATAATGTTAAAATTGATGCCTTGAGGGCTACAAGAGTTTCAGCCAGATAAAATGACTTGTACACTAACAGTGCATTATAGGGTTCCACAAACTTTGGACACACATTTTACAGCCTACTTGCATAAAAATGTTACATATAATTATATTCAAAGTCATTTGGTATATACCTAATCATTACTACATATAATTTTAAAAATATTGGCCAATAACCAAATCACATTGCTTTAGAGGAAAAGGGTTTATTTCTATAAGCCTAACTCTTGTTTTTTTTTTTCAAGCAAAATAAGCATTTCTCACTACATAGTTTTGTATCCTTCAACCTCTTGCTTTTTCCCTAAACCAAGAACTATTTTCACAAGGAAGAATTAGATGATAAAAACTGAGTAACAAAAAGCATCATTTAAATAAAATCTATATTGTATCAATCCTGTCAATAAAAGAGGACAGAAACTAAACTTAGTGTTCTTCTAATGTAAAAATCATCTATGATTTTCTCAACATGTCAATTCTAGGCTCTGAATGGAGAAACAGATTACATTAAGTTTAAGACTCTTTCAAAACTTAAATTAATAAAAATTATTATAAATGAAGTATCACAATGACAGAATTATTTTTTTGACAGAATTCTTTAAGTGCAACATTTCCCAAATAAGAGACTTTTATCAATTTCAATTCACAGTTTTGCTGAATTTGCCTCTCATACTTAAGATTTCTCTTATAATCTTGTATTGTTAAAACCTGGCCCCCATAGAAAAAGAAATATGAAGTATGTTTCAGAGCACATTTTCAATGTGTCTTGGATATAGGCCAAAATGGAGAAAACTTAACGCCTAAATCATCATTTCCAGTTAAACAAAGAACAGGTATTGGTCAAGGCAAAGCATTAAGACCGTATCACAGAACATCCTGCAGGTTCTACATTTATTGCCATCAAAATGCTATAGTGAACTGGGTTAAGAGAGCAAATAATCAGTCATACACATATCTGTTTGGACAGGAAGATACTCCGTTCCACATATCTTATGCAAAAGTACGCACATAGAACTGAAATACAGCATTAATGACAGAACTAAGCATCACAGTAAAGATGGTACTAGATCGGGGCAAACTACTTTAGGTTTTGAATAGTGTGCTTAGCCAAGCTGAGCACAGTTCAAAAATGTGCAAGAGTTTTGTTCCTTTCTGTAGAGTAAGAGCTATTCCAAATGGATATTAATAATCATGTTGCAGAAAAGGATGTAGAAAGATGTGGCACCATATGTATCTCCAGGCCAGGATACACAGGGATTGTGAAACTGGTTCCATGCTTTATTTTTCCTGGCCCCTTCCTCCTGGACCTCATGCCCCCTCAGGTCCCCTGACCACCCAGGACTTAACTTTCCACTCACCCCCACTGAAATGTCCCCATCCTGAGGCAAATGAGATAATGCTTGTGAAAGTCTTCTATAAACCGAAAACGTAATATATAATTATTCCTATTATCATCATCATCATCTCGTCTTCTGAGGGCCAAATTCTCCATGCCTTCCAAGTTGACATCTCACTAAACTAAGTAATGATTCAATGCTAACCAAAACAGTCCCAGGAGCAGACAGGTTATTCCACCTTCTGTCTCTTTCTACTTCCTGTCATCATACTTCTCTGCTCTCCTGCCCTTGCTAACACCTGGAGGTATCACATAGGAGAACTACAGGAATGTGTGTGTTTTTATGCCAGGTTAAAGCAAGGGGGAGATGTGAGGCTCCCCACTCATCACATACCAAGCTGGCAGCCAAGGGCTTGCACACAACACATGGTGATTTGGGGAATAAACAAGCCTGGCAGAGCCAAAACCAAATTTTTTCTGAAGGGGTCAATTCTCCTGATATTATCCCCACAAGAAATTTCAAAAATCACTTCAGATTCTACCTTCTCCAACTGTGATCTCCTTTGGCAGGAGGGAGTACTTCTTCATCGTCCAGTGTAGTCTTTTTGGATCCTGGGGTCTCCCAACATGCTGTTTTCAACATTTACCCTTCAAGGGTCGTAGGAAGACAGATGGCCATAAAAACATTTCAGAGGCAAAGTACACAATGCAAAACGACTCATACTGCAAAAAATGATGCAAAAAAATGCAGGGAGGTTGGGGACGGGGGTGGAAAGTGGAGGCTGCAAGCCTCTAGGAAAAGTCTAAAAAGACCCTTACCAGATTGGAAGTGCCACTGATACAAAGAAGGGGCTTGAGCTGGAAGAACAGGTGTAGTGAAAGCCAAATCTATAACGATGTCTGTGTATTTTGGAATGTGAGGGTTTTCTAGTTATAAAAGATAAGGGAGTTTACAGAGGTTACAGTTCTTCTTTTGATTCAGATGAAGAAGCAATAAATAGGGTACACAGACAACCCCTCAAAAAAAATCACCAAATGTACAAATTCAGTACCAGCTAAACCCAGATGAAATGCAATCTCAGATTTTCACATACCCATCACCCACCTCAAAGAGCCCTTCCTTTTAGTAGGGCTACAGTCAGATTTGGTGGAGAAGCAGGAAGCCCATGTTGTAGGGAGAGAGCGCTGCATTTAAAAGGATGCAAACAAAGCAACACTAGGCAACAGGCTACATTTTCCTTTCTAAAACCCATCACTGAGGCCCCATGCCAGCTTGCTGGGATACACTCTCTTCCTTCCAGTTCCCTGACAAGCCTGCTAAAAGGACCACTTTCATCCGAAGAGGGTGTGCATGCCCAGGCCTGCGAGGGGCAGGAAAGAGACCAGGTCTAGAAGGGTTCTTCCTCAGGCCCTCCTAAAGCTGCCCAGACACAAGCTTCATCGTCCTCCCCCTACCTGAAGGATGTACCCCCGGACGTAGTCCCGTAGAGTCCAGCCCAGGCCGTGCAAGATGTGCAACACCTCCTCCTGCTTCAGGACACTGAAGAGACGGTCTAGCAGGATCTTTAGCCGCACAGGCACCGCTTGTGTCCCGTAGAGCATCAGGCTGCTGATGTCGAACACCACGTTGGACTGCACAATCTCCACCTGGGTGGGGTGGTATAGGTGCTGCGTGCTGAGCTTATCCAAGGCTGTAGCAGTTCCACAAAAGTTCGGGAAAGGGAAAGGACAAAGAAAGCAGAAACAAGTCACTGGAAGTTATCAGGGCTCCATTTCTACAGATGGATCATAACCACAGATGTTGAAACAAAATTTTGCAATGTAAATAGTTCTCTTCCCACCCCCTCCCTGTTTTTTTTTTTTTTAATGGTTTATAAATTGCAGACAACAGCAAATGTAAAACCACATTTGACTTTCAGAAAGAGAGCCACTGAGGATGTTTCTAAATGACTGTGGCTGGCTCTAAAAACCTGACTAATTAATTTGCTAATTGAACTATGGCTCAGCCTGAGTTACCATGGTGTCCTCCGTCTCCCAAACAAAGACAGACCAACAAACAGTTCCCAACTCCTTCCATAAGAGCAGGCTCAACGATACCAGTTTTCTGAGTAAGATGCAGAAGTACCTGAACGGTTCAAGGAGAAAGAAGAGCATGTTCTGTAGACTGCAGGGGTAAAAGGTCTAATCTGAGGAAATAAGGAAAGTGTGACACCTGTGTAGAGGGATAGTAATTTAACTCAAGCTATATTAGCAAGCAAGGATTCTCCCAAGAAGTAGTTCTTCCAACCCTCCCTCTTGCTAGTCACCTGCTATAGACAGTTTAGTGTTCACTGGCATGTTCACAAAAAAGAAACTCAAATTGTAACTTAGTCACTTTTTATTAACAGCTCTGATATGGGTTTAGAATCAGATGAAAAAGGAGGGGCAGGAAATGATAAAAATCTAAATTGAAGAATTCCTGTGTATTTCAGGAGCATTATCTCAGTATAAAAACAGGATGACCATTCTCACAGTAAACAGTTGAGGCCTTTTTCTCTTCATATCTAAGAAGTTATATCTAGATCTAAAAGCCAAGATAAGGTCATACCTTCTAGTCCCCATCCTTATCTGAGTTCCTGGGAACCCTACTACAGATAATGTAATTACATTTTTCCTCAGTTTCTCTAAAGTGAACAATTAAGATAACATTGTCTCATCTACAAGGCTCAAAGAGATGCTGCAAAGATTAATGACATAACGAATGAGAGGTACTTTGAACTTGTTGAGAACACAAAAGCCTTAGATCAACTGTCAGAATTATACACATATGACCTTCTAGAGATTAGAAAAGATAAACACGTGAGCCTGAGAGATGGCCATCTCAACACATAAGTCAGGGAAATGGATATTGGACAATAACTAGGCTCAAATCCTAATTACACCTGAGAGTGCCCAAGATTTCTGCAAGTTCTAAACCACTGGCTGGTCTTTCTCTACCACTCTTCCCACCACCTGACCTCCTTACAGTATAGGCTCCTGTACATGTGCACTCGGAGCAACTCCTGTTTTAGTATGCCAGTATTTCTGCATATTAATGCAGGTACTTAAAAGTACATGCACACACACACTTTTTTTTTTTAGTATTTCAAATGTATTTTTTCCAGAGTTCCTCCTCCACTCTCGTTTCCTCCTGACTTATGGTCACCAGAGAGTTCATGTACTCTTGATAAATTGCTTTCTTACATCCACAGTGTAAAGGCCCTTATCATTTACCCGCTGGCTTCATTCAACACATTTACTCCCAGGAATACTTTGTCAAAGAGTTCGGGTTTCCTCATACTTCATTTCTTGCAGCTGATTTGTCTGATCTTTCCTATTCTAGTGGTTAAGTCAACTTTGAATAAATAGCTTTAAAAATTAATTTAACGTTTGGGAAAGATAAGGGATTCACAAGCCTAGGGATTGAAGTCTTCTCTCACTCCACAGGGCATTTAGACTGCAAAAATGCAGGAATGAGGTATTATTATCTCTGTTCTTCCTCAAATATAGCTTTACTACTCAGCCTTCTGATGAGTAAGCTGCTCTGCTTATGGAATCGAGTGACCAGGTCAGAGAAAATCTGCCCCTGTCCCCATCTCCCTTCATCAACCCTCCTGGCCTGCATCAAACACTTCTTCACCAAATACACTGCTATGACCACAACAAATATGAAACCAAGAGGGCTCAGTAGAGGGGAAATAAGATGACACCAAATCTCAATTTTTGTACCTATGTTTGGCACCTATAGCCATGAATTAAGTACATGCAGGTATGTGTACCTATTGTGTTCAAGGGCTGGGTGGAAAGTTGTCACCCTCTGCCTCCCACGCTTCAAAAAAGGGCTGGCAGTTTAAGATGAAAAGGACTAAACAGTTGAGGCTACAGAAACAAAAGTTGTTCAGAGAACTGAAAGAGCAAAACTGGAAAAATAAAGCAAAAACATTTCCCTAAATATGTTTTTGAGAACATCAGAAAGTGAGAATAATATTATAAGGAAATTATCGGATTTTTCTTCATGAATATGCCATATGTCAAGATGTAGGAATACCGTTATAAGTCACATAAGTATATGGTCAACATTTTCTGTAAAAGGCCAGACAGTAAATATTTTAGGTTTGTGGGTCATATGTTCTGTTTCACAAGTACTCATCTCTTCTGTTAAAGAGGAAGAGCAGGTGTGCCAATGTTCTAATAAAACTTTATTTACACAAACATATGGAGGATGGAAGGGTGGGCCAAGTATTTAAAGAAAGTCAATAGTAGATAAGGTGAAAAATCTGAGAGTGTGATTTAAACAGAAATTACCTAGGAGATGAGCCACAGATGAAGGCTTGAAAAATATTAAACTGCCCAGCTTTCAGATGTCAACTACAAATTTCACCATAAATAGATCTTCAAAGATCGGTCAAATTTCTTGAATGTATCAAAATTTTCTGCTTTATAAAACAAGTTGTCAACAACTTTTAGGGATGTCTTCTAGGTGGGCAATGGTTAAGTGACAAGTATTTAAGTGTCATAACAACAACAAACTAAGAACTGGATGTCTGTAGGAACTGGATATCTGCCCAATGTCATTATCTTCCTGTGTCTGACTGTGGAGGACTCAAGTCTGAGTCTTAGTGGGTTTAGGAACATGAGGTGTGTCAATGGGGATGAATGGGTGGTAAAACAAGAACTTGTTCAGGAGAATGAGTAAAAAAGATAAGTCATCTACCTTTATACTTTATGGGTCTAACCATCTTAAATCATCCTATACCAATGGTGTTCCCCAAATTCCATTTTCAAATGAAAATGAAACCTTTTTCTTTAATGTTTATTTATTTTTGAAAGAGAGAGAGAGAAAGAGAGAGGGAGGGAGGGAGGGAGGCAGAGTGTGAATGGGGGAGGGGCAGAGAGGGCAACACAGAATCCAAAGCAGGTTCCAAGCTCTGACACAGGGCTCAAACCCACAAACCATGAGATCACGACCTGAGCCGAATTCAGATGCTTAACTGACTGAGCCACCCAGATGCCCCTGAAATGAAATCTTAATACAAGCTGGATATAAAGATATATGAAAGGAAAGCTGCCTTTGGTGATGCTGGAGTGCGTATGGATTAGAGAGCTTCCAATCATTTGTTACTCTCTTCTTCCCTTCAACTCGTTTAATCATCTCAGTGGGATCCCTAGAGTTCCTTGGAAGCACAGTTTAAAAAAAACAAACCACTTTTCTATACAATAATATGATATCAACTGCTTTGTCTGCTTTGCATCTATTCTCCTTCATTCTAGGACCAGAAATGGGATTTCCCTTTGGGGAGCCACTCTTCTCCTATACTCGGTATCAATTATTTCATAGACTAGAATGTTCCTTAAGCCAGGCCAGGAAAACCAGGATATCCCAGGCCCCTGGCCACAGCACCTGGCTTAAGAATGGGCAACTGACCTAAGTCTCAACAGTGAGATTTAATGTAGGATTTTAGTTAGAACTTCTGGGAAGTCTTCTCTTTCCTAGACATTTGTAGCTAATATATTTGCTTAAGACTGAGAATCATATGGAAGACAGTCAGGCTGCAAGGTGGTCTGAGAAAGACCAAGCACTGATTAATACTGTTTGATATAGAAGATATGGATATGGCAGTGCTGAAGCTAGTATTATCCCTGGAGTTTTCAGCTACATGAGCCAAAAAAAGAAAAACAAAAAACCAACCAAACAACTCTGTCCCTCCCCTCCCCTTATATGTCTGCTTGAAGTACAATTCCATAATTTGTATCAAAAAGAGGCTAGATAAGACAACTACTTTTAGTGGTATTCATCCAGTTGAATACCATGTAATTTTAAAGCTGCTATCACTAGTTTAACTAGTTCAGCCCAAATTTCTCCAATTCACAATTCCAACTGTAATTCACAATTTCGCCAATGACTGGAATGAAGGTATCCTTAATGATTTCATATCTTATACAAATTTACAAAGGGTGATGGACACCAGTAACATTATTAAATAAATTTTATGTGGGGGGTAAAGGAAATGACTGTTTAAGTAGTAACTAAACGTAGGCATCTTTCTAGGGGGTTACAATGATCTACTTTAATCCTTTAAAAAACCAAACACACACACACACACACACACACACACACACACGCACACAGTATTACTATTACTGGCTATTCAGAGATCATAGGCTCAATGAGGTTAAGTAACTAAACTAAGGTCACATAGTTATTTCTCCCAAGAAAATTCTGTTTCTACTACATGTTCAGATAAACAGTAAGTCTAGAAACTTGCAAATCTTCATCATGTTGGAAGTCCCTAACTCCCAGTAATCTGGGCTTCTTGCCCATCACTCTGCTGAAGCAAGCATTTCAAAGGTCACCAACACCTGCCTTACTATGAAATCCAATAGCTTTTTCCCTTCATTATTCTCCATGATCTCTTCACAGCAACTGACCTTATTGATCACCACTCCTCCTATAATACTCTTCCCCTTCATTCGTGCATACATTCATTTATTCACCAGCACTTAATAACTTATCACCAAGGTAGGTGTTGTATGGAGATGCAAAAGTAATTTACGTTGTGGCCTCCACCTTCAAAAGTAGACAGATGCAATCAGCATAAATGCTATAGAAGAGATCTGATAAAGTACTGTAGGACACAGAAGAGAGAGCAACTCTGCCAGGAAGGCACTGTCT